TGAATTGGACTTAGGGGACATTTGGTTCCAACAGGATGGAGCAACGGCTCACACTTCAATAGCATCAATGGCTGTTTTAAGGGAACACTTCCCAGAGCGCCTCATCTCAATAAGGGGCGATTTGGAGTGGCCAGCCCGCTCCCCCGATTTGGCCCCTTGCAACTTTTTTTTGTGGGGTTTTTTGAAATCCCGCGTTTATGTAAACCGTCCAAGGACCCTACAAGACCTGAAGGCCAACATCCGCGCAGAAATTGCCAACATACCCGCTGCTATGCTGGTAAGGGTCATGAAAAACGGCAGAAATCGGCTTATTCAGTGTATGGACAATGGGGGGGGGGGCGTCACCTACCTGATATGATTTTCAAAACTGTGTAAAACAGAACTTTAGATATGTACCTACATTATTACAGACAATAAAAACAATTCTGATTCATAAAATGGGTTTTATTGCGTTTTGAAAAAAGGAAGTTATGTTGCTGCACCCTGCACTTAATCTGCCTTAAAAAAGGCAAAAGCTGACTTTTCTATTTAATAACCCAAGGCCCCTTTTTTGAAAATGGAGAGAAAGCGTCTTTACTGTCAGTGGAAAGAACCGTAAAATGGACCTCAGTACACAAGGGTAAATACACATTCCTAGATTGTAAGCTTGAAAGAGCAGGGCCCTCGATCCCCTCATGTTTTGCATTGTATTGGTATTGTTCTGTCACATGTTCTGTCCCCCTTTGTAATGTACAGCGCTGAGCGAACTATTGGCGCTTTATAAATACTGAATAATAATAATAATAATAATAATGTGTAAACCATATCAACCAATCAGAAGTCAGATTTCTCGAGTCCAACTATACTAAACTGATAAGAGTTGATTTTTGTTTGGCCACCTAGGATTCCTGCCCATCACACTATTATTTGGGGCAGATATCAACTGAGGATGCCTAACCCCATACATCACGGGTGTCAAACTGGTGGCCTTCCAGCTGTTGCCAAACTACAAGTCCCATGAGGCATTGCAAGATTGACAGTTATAAGCATGACTCCCAAAGGCATGGGCATGATGGGACTTGTAGTTTTGCAACAGCTGGAGGGCACCAGTTTGACACCAGTTTGGGCACCAATTTGACACCCCTGCCATACACCTGGAGCGTAGTGCCCCAAAGCAAAGACCTATAGGTCTATCAGGGAAAACATCCCAATTTCCATTTTGTTTTACACCAATTTGGAAACCTAAAAGAGTTAAGGCTGTGACTGGGCAGCATGGAAGCTATAGTTATTCAATGGTACTCCATGGCAGTAGATGAGATACTGTATACGGTGTAAACAATCACAGTTGCTCAACAAAAGAACAAAGTGTTTTGACAGTGACAGCTCGGCCTTGCTTTGTTATTAAATGATGTATGAGTAATAGATAACGAATGTCATTCCTGTGGACAGGTACACACCTGAGCTTGTGCGCACGTTAACTGGATCACACAAATAAAAACATTTGCACTTTGTTTTATAGTGAAAATCCTATTATAAAGAACTCCACCTGAACAAAAACCTTTCAGCAGCAGAGTTGTTTAGATTTATTAACAAGTTCATTAACAATTCAATGTTTGATGATGAGATCCATAATCTGGAAGGCAGGTGATTTCCAAAATCTGACAGTTGGAATAATTAGATTTTTTTGCCCGCCCAACCATTGACAGCTATCACCTGCTAAAGAAGTGTGGCCACACACAGACAGATACAATTTTTAATTATTAACCAGTCTATAGCTATTGGAAGGGCCAACGAAATCAGTTTAAAAATAGAATATATCTATGTTATGAAGCCAGTTATTTGCAAATCAGTGCAAACAGGACTATAACTGTAAGTATAGCCAAAACATTTTTTTTTAAATATGTAGGAAAGGGTTAAAACCCCCTCCTGATTATTTTTTGCTGTATCATTAGGGAGATTTACTTTCCTGTCCCAGAGATGCAACATTAAGTTAGAGGAAATCAAGCAAAATTAAGGGAATTCCCCTAGTTGTTCCCGAAACAAGTGCCCCCATTTAAAAACTTCCCCTTCTTAGTCTGAGGACAGTTCTGACATTCCCTCAATGTTCTTTTCTGTATCAATGGTCACCGGTAGAAACAGAGTGGTGAATCTCAGTGTCTAACCTTTCCCCACTCTAAACCTGAAGAAGTTCTACATGGAGGCGCACTTTAAGGTCCATGTCAAACTATCAGTTATGTAATTGGTAATAACCTGCTAAGGGTCCACTCAACTTCTCCTATGATGCTCCCTCTCTGGTCTAACCAGGATGACTCTCCATCACTGTTCCATCATCAGCGATGGTGATTCCACATTTTGGCCAGTGAGGAAGTGTCTTCCACAGGGGCGGACTGACAACTCATGGGGCCCCCGGGCAATAGGGGAACATGGGGCCCCTGTGTTCTTGCCCAAACTCAAAAAAGCCTATGAAAAAAGTACCAGGGGCATCTCATGGGGCCCCCTACTGACCCCAGGCCCTGGGCAGTGCCCGAGTTTCCAAATGGTCAGCCATTTGGTTTAGTTGCATCTGGGGTTTCTGCAAGTTGTCACTAGTGGTGGAAATCAACATCAGTTCCCCAGTGGAAGAAAGTGACCTTGGACTAACGCTGACTATAGATAGAATGTTTTCTCATCCTATATGGTAAAGATTTGGCAAACACTTGTTTTATTTCATGACCAAGAAGTACTGTTAAGTTGGAATATTCTATAAAAGTGATCAATCGTTACCAAGAAATGTTATCAGTCTCAGTATCTCCAATTTCAGCAAGGGAGAAGTGTGGGAGTTGCCCCTTCCTGGTCCACCAGAGAGGGAGAGACACTACAGAAGCTGGAGAGTGCTGCCTTTGTTCTCCTAGCTATTGGCAGGATCACTAGTGTTAAGTGGGCTCAATGCCACACATATATGTTTTTTGTTGGTCTATATTAAAGATCTAGTCATGCAAAGAACAATTATTCCAGACTGAATCATTCCATACTGTTCATTAGAAAACTGTAAGTCATAAACCCCCAACTGAGTACGTAGCCTTTGAGTCCCACAGTGGGATCTATGCATTCATTCAACTTCCAGACAGTCAGTAGTTGTATGTGGTATTCATTTTGCACCATGTTTTGGCCTTGGCTCTAGAAATATACATAATTGTCTAAGGGATATGGCTACCGTCAGTTATCAATCAACTGAATGAGCCCAAAGACTCAAGTCATTACTGGCCATGATTAAACGTTGAACATTTCTTGTTCAGCACTAACAGAGGGCCATACAATTTAAAAGAGAAGTTCAGGATGTGGGTCACAGGAGTGCAGAAAGAAGCTTTGGCCCTACTTCTCCTTTACCAAGGGGGTAATATTTCCATTTTAGGTAGATGTTGGAGATTCCTACTACCTGACAAGTTCTTACATTAACTTGGTGAGTTCTTGGGTTTGAATACCAGATGTAACCATTGTGAGAGGTTCCCGAATATCCTATTTTTTATAGTATGAAAAGTGAAATAGGAGGAGCTGGAACACAAAAAGTTGGGCAGGAACAGCTAAAACTCTTAGATGGACAGGTCAGCGAGGACGGCAGGAGGATCTTGCTGTTGATGTACCCAAGACATTTAAGAAGCCAGGGGCTGACTCAGCCCACAATCCTCCATTTATCATTAAAATATAAATTTTTGGCCTTGCTTTGTTATGCCGCATTTACCAAAATGGTGGAATTAAACTGTAGTCCTCATTTCTGTGTGTTAGGGTAAAAAAGTTACCAGAGCCGGACCCCTTGGGGGAGTGATGCTTTCGGTATAAAAGGAGCAGGTGGGGGGATGGGGGAGTCTCTCAGAAAACAGATGGAGTCCTATAATTTGCCGTCCTCTGAGTCCTCCCTTTCTCATGCTTGTAGGCTGCCTCCTGGGAGTAGTAAGATCACAGCAAAACATCCATCTGTGTTGTCGATTGTTACCACTGTACAGCAGGTTGGATCCAGTGTATTTTCTGAATTTTCAGTGCCTTTGGGTTTGGCTACCAATCAAAATTCAGTGTATTGAATTCTGATTGGCCGAGATTGATTATTGCACTTTACAAAAAGTCATTGCAGTTTGCACACCACCATATTAAAAAGGAACTGGTACACCTGTTGACAAGCTGAAGTCATCATCTGGGGTTTCATGTAGACCCAAGATTCAGACTAATGAAAGATAACTTCTCATTGATTGCTATGGGATACTGCAGTTTGTGGTAGGCCCTTGTCTTTACCGCGTGCTATTATTTTATAACAACTCCAGTTATTCAAAATTAATATTTCTATTATGAGTGGTTGTTGGGGAAGATGGGTGAGAGTTAGGAATTAAGGTGGAGAGATCTCGCCAAGAGATGCGCAAGAGGGATTCAACCCACTGATTTCCAGTCAAAACAGTATATTGTATTTTGCCTTTACATTCAAAAGATGAAATCAAATTTTAACTCACAGGCAGGGGCGGACTGACAACTCATGGGGGCCCCCGGGCAATAGGGGATCATGGGGCCCCTGTGTCCTTGCCCAAACTCAAAAAAGCCTATGAAAAAGGTACCAGGGGCATCTCATGGTGCCCCCTACCGACCCCAGTTTCCAAATGGTCAGTCCGCCCCTGCTCCCGAGTGTTATAAAAAAAAAAAATGTCATTACAGTCAAAGAGCAATGATAAAACATAAGCCATGGCAACCTATTTTTATTATTTAGTTAATTTATGTATATTGCTATTTTTTAAAACATTTTTAATATGTAGCCTTTTTAAAATTGTACAAGATACATGGAGCATTAAAAAATGTTGGTGTAGACTGATAAAACCATTGTCATATCTTATTTTGAAGCCAAAGTGCAAACCACACCAGCCAATCAGAAAATTCTAAATGCTGAACCCCCATTGGTTAGAAGGGGGTCATTACCCTCTATAAGTCATTACTACTCTCTGGACCATCATACTGTACATCTGTGCCCATCTCAGTGTGTTATTATAAATACTTCTTGCCATTACCTGTGTCTGTGTAAGTCCTAGCTGGGCCGCCAACTCTGCCCTCTCCGGCAGCGCCAAGTACTGGGCCTTCTGAAAGCGTCTCTGCAGTGCAGCCAGTTGATAACTAGAGTAGATGGTTCTTGGTTTCCGGATCTTTTTGGGTTTCCCATTGACCATTCGTACCTCGGTTTCTGGCTCTTCTTTAACTGACACGGCTGGGGAAGAATGAGATGAATAAATATGTAAGTCAAAGCTTCTATTGTCTTTTCAAAAGCTTAATTCACGTTTACAAAGACCTGCTCCAGGCTATTTTATCAATCGCTCCCTAAATTCGCAAAGTTTTTCTTATGGGATGCATTTTAGTCTAATGGAGTGCATTAATTATGCAATGTTTTCCCCAAAACACAGAGTCTCAAGGAGTTAGAGAACATTTGTGACTTGGTTTTGGACCATTCATATAAGAAGTTTCTGAAACCAAGGAGCCTGTTTTGTCCAGTAGTAATCGAATACAATATTTATAGCTTTCAGTTTTCTAGCAGAAGATAGGCAAAATCGGACAGAGTGTAATGTGATTATTTTTGCACGAAGGTGCTCGAACTCCAACAAGCCGAAGTGATAACAAGCTAGGAATATAGAAAAAAAAAATAACCTGACCTCCCCAGTACCTACATAGGCTTGGACCTATATCTCCTGAGGAAGCAAGCTGAACTCCTGTGAAATGCGTAGAGAAAGAACAGACTTTAAAAGAAATCTTTTAAGAATGAAGCAACTAACATGTTTTATATGGTTGTGTAAATTCTCTGTGCTTTAAATCGGCACTGTTTAAGTACAGATTTGGAGTTATGAGTTTTTAAAATGTGATAACAAGCTATTGTTAGAATGAAAGTACTTGTTATGACCCCCTAGATTAGCCTTAAGCAGCTGATACTGGCATACAACGCATTTCGGGGCCCCAAATCCCCCTTTCTTAGGGTTTAACACAATGTATCAAAGTGTTATATGAATTCAAAATACAGAGCTCCTGGGCAAATCTATGGCAGGAGATGTTCAGAAGAAAGGTCTGTGAGTGATTGTGCCAACGTCGTCCTTGGAATTATGGAATTTCATTATTCCAGTGCGGATGTTGGCACAATCATTGGCACAATGATGGCGGTCCATTATTCCAATGCGAGTATTGGCACAATAATGGAGCTCCATTATTCCACTACTGATACTGTCACAATCATTGGTACAATAATGGAGTGCCATCATTCCAGTGCTGGTATTGGCTTGATAATGGAGCTCCATTATTCCAACGCTGATATTGGCACAATCATATGCACAATAATGAAGCTACATTATTTCTACGTTGATATTGACAAACTCATTGGCACAATAATGGAGCTCCTTTATTCCAATGCTGGTATTGGCACAATAATGGAGCTCCATTATTCCAGCGCTGATGTTGGCACAATCATTGGCACAATAATAGAACGCCATTATTCCAATGCTGCTATTGGCACAATAATGGAGCTCCATTATTCTAACGCTGATATTGGCACAATCATTGTCACAATAATGAAGTTACATTATTTCTATGTTGATATTGACACAATCATTGGCACAGTAATGGAGCTCCATTATTCCAGTGCTGGAATTAGCATTATAATGGAGCTCCATTATTCCAGCGCTGATATTGGCATAATCATTGGCACAATAATGGAGCTCCATTATTCCAATGCTGGAATTGGCACTGTAATGGAGCTCCATTATTCCAGCGCTGATATTTGCATAATCATTGGCAAAATAATGGAGCTCCATTATTCCAATGCTGGAATTGGCACTGTAATGGAGCTCCATTATTCCAGCGCTGATATTGGCATAATCATTGGCACAATAATGGAGCTCCATTATTCCAATGCTGGAATTGGCACTATAATGGAGCTCCATTATTCCAGCGCTGATATTGGCACAATCATTGGCACAATAATGAAGCGCCATTATTTCAATGCCGGTATTGGCATGATAATGGAGCTCCATTATTCTGACACTGATATTGGCACAATCATTGCCACAATAATGAAGCTACATTATTTCTATTCTGATATTGGCATAATAATGGAACTCCATTATTCCATCGCTGATATTGGCACAGTCATTGGTACAATAATGGAGCTCCATTATTCCAACATTGATATTGGAACAATCATTGGCACAATGATGGAACTTCAGTGCATGAACTACTCTGAAGTCCCCGAAATTTTAAGTCGCTTACATTGGTGACCAGTTAGAAGAATGTCCCTTACACTGGTCGCACATATATGAATGGTTATCATTGAAAAACATGGGGTATGACTTGTCATGCAACTCTGATGTCCAAAGTCGCATGACAAGTCGCAGAAGTGTGAATTGGATCTAAGTGATTTAAAGTGTATATAAACCCTAACAATGAACCTCTCTTGTTTGCTATCATTTGGTCTGTTACATTTACCAGAAAGTGTTTTGTTATATCTGTTCCATAAGTGCAAAAAAAAATTGCTGTTGATTATGTCACAAATCTCATGAGCTGATGACATCATGTGTTCTCTGACTTTGCTGTACCCTTAGATCAGATATATTTTTCTCCATTCTCTCCATGAAATACACAACGCCTACCCCTAGTTAATGGGAATGAGATGTTTTGTAGACTTCCTGTCTTAGTGTGACAACGCTACTCCTAGGAAAGAAAGTGTGTCACTGGTATGGTCACCAGCTGAAAGTAAAGAGAAAAAGCCAAAAAAAGAAAACTAATTCAATCAACACATCTAGCTGCAATACAATAAATGTCACGTTCTCTGGTTTAGATACACTTGAATAAAATTCTATACTCTCAATGTCTGTTAGTTTTTGTTTTTGCTTTAGGTATTTGTGGTTGTTAAGTCGGTTTTATACCAACAGGCATGTTTATGCGGTTACATGTGTCTAGGAATGCTAACAAAACACCATCAGTTAAGTATCCACTTTGTAGTATGTGTCTTTTATCTATAGCCTTACATTTTGTATCCTGTTTGGCCCTTTTATTTTCAAACACTTCTCTCAAGTACTACTTGTTATTGTCAGGGTACGCCACAGGTAGTAGATCTGTCTGCCAGCTTTTTATCTCATGTCTTTTCTGACCAGTGTATAGTCATGCTTCTAGATCTGGTCCCTATATCTGTGCAGAGATCCCTCTATGTCTCTCTTTTACCACAGCTTTTTATAGACTTGGATAACCAGCTGATGTCACATTAATTGGAGTCACGTTTGATTTATCCTGATGTCTATCAGTAGGTGAGGTGGAGTTCTACACCGGCTAATCCACTTCTGTGTTAAAAACAAGCAACCCAAAATGCAGCGAAAGTCTTAAACACGTAGTAACAATCAACGTCACATGATTGCATTGTGCTCCAGTCTCCCAAGTAGTTCTAGGCCAGCCCTTCTCAACAGAGGGATCAATGGACCTCTAGGTATCCTCTAGAGGTTGCTAGGGTTTCCTTGAGCTGTGTCTGACTGACCTCCTATCTGAAGGTGCCTATCTAGTTCTGAGACCAATACTACTTGACAAAGTCAACAGCATGACACTAATGATTTCATTAGCCTGAAAAGATAGTGTTTTGACAACAACTGTAAGGGAGACATTCTTCCCACTGTCCACCAATGTAAGAATTCTTCCCACTGACCACCAATCTAAGGGACTTTCCTCCCACTGTCCACCAATGTAAGGGACATTCTTCCACTGACCACCAATCTAAGGGACTTGCCTCCCACTGTCCACCAATGTAAGGGACATTCTTCCCACTGACCACCAATCTAAGGGACTTGCCTCCCACTATCCACCAATGTAAGGAGAATTCTTCCCACTGACCACCAATCTAAGGGACTTTCCTCCCACTGTCCACCAATGTAAGGGACATTCTTCCCACTGTCCACCAATGTAAGGGCCTTTCTTCTCACTGGTCACCAATATAAGGAGCATTCTTCCCACTGTCCACCAATGTAAGGGCCTTTCTTCTCACTGGTCACCAATATAAGGAGCATTCTTCCCACTGTCCAACAATCTAAGGGACATTCTTCCCATTGACCACCAATCTAAGGGACATTCTTCCCACTGTCCACCAATGTAAGGGACATTCTTCTAACTGGTCACCAATGTAAGCGACATTCTTTCCAATGACCACCAATGTAAGGAAAATTATTCCTACTGACCACCAATCAGAGGTTGCTAGGATTTCCTTGAGCTGTGTCTGATTGACCTCCTATCTGAAGGTGCCTATCTATTTCTGAGACCAATACTACTTGACAAAGTCAACAGCATGACACTAATGATTTAATTAGTCTGAAAATATGGCATTTTGACCACTACTGTAAGGGAGACATTCTTCCCACTGTCCACCAATGTAAGGGGCATTCTTCCCACTCTCCACCAATTTAAGGGCTTTTCCTCCCACTGTCCACCAATCTAATTGACTTTCTTCCCACTGTCCACCAATCTAAGGGACATTCTTCCCACTGACCCCCAATGTAAGGGACATTCTTCCCACTGACCCCTGATTAAATTGTTTTAGAAGGAGTTAACCAAGACCTAAAATTATTTTAAGGGTTCCTCTGGAGTAAAAAGGTTGAGAAAGCCTGCTTTAGACTAATGGGGTAACTACCAGCCAGTGGTCTCGTTTAGTAGCAAGAGATTAAAACTATTTCCATAGTCCCAGATTACATGTGATGCTCTAGGCACTCCATCACAGATGAGGAAGTTGTGAAAGAGTCTGGTTTATTTAATATTGCAAGATCAATGGCAAAGTACAACCAATCAGCTTTCACAGACTGGACTACAATCATTTGAATCTGATTGGGTGGTAGGGGTAAGTGCACTTCACTCATCATTGTTTGTTATACTTTCAATATAAACAGCACAATGGCTAAGTGGTTGCACTTCTGCCTGGGACCACTAGGGTTATTGGTTTGAATCCTGACCATGGTACAATCTTCCTGGAATTTGCATGTTCTCCCTGTGCCTGTGTGGGTTTCTTCCCACTCTCCAAGGACATGCTGGTAGGCAAATTGGCCCTATTATGTGTATGTAGGAATGTGAGTTAGGGACCTTAGATTTACTTTTTTTGATAAGAGCAGGGAAGGAACCATGTTAGGTTTTACTGCCATCTGGGCTCCATTAGAGTGATTTCCCCTCACTTCCTGTCCTGTTGATGGTATCACCAAACAG